ATACATCGTGAATATAGTTCGTGATTATTATGACATCACAGTGACAGACGTACATTCTATTTGATATATATATACTTATATATATATATCACGTCTGTCTATAGTATTGCTTCCGCTTCCCCTTGACCGTATGGACGACAGATTTGACCAGTGATGCTTCGGCTTGGTGAACTGGCACGGTCTCTTGTCGTGTGACACCTCATCATTTGGTGATTTTGTCGGAGATACAACCATGGTTGATGTTAGTCAATGGTCAATGCCATATCATCTTATTTCATCCTCTGCCATGTCATGTCTGGACTCAGAGACAAGTTACGGTGAATGTAAAAGCTCTGCGTCACGAGCCTTGAGAGAAATTAGTCTTTCCTACAATCATCTGAGCCGTCGTACCACATGACGCGAATTCTCTGCTCTCGGGGCGACCCCTTTTACCACATAGACCCAAGTTCTACCACTCCGTTCCCATCCCAACCACATGTACAGTCTCGTACGTCTATTGCCCAGCAGCACCGGCTGACCACCGTGCAATATATTATCAACGACTCCGGCTACCAGCTTACGGCGATCCCAACTACTCTCCACACTTTACTCCATCTCGCATACGCCTCACCATTCCACCTCGTGTTCCTTGTACATACCTCAGTCCAATCTCTTGTGGCAGGCCCACCCGTATGTCTGTCTACTCGAGCCTTCCTCTGTAACTTCTGCACGTATGCTATTGGGAATCAAGGGCGAGTTAATGTCGGCTGAGGACATGTGTACATATCTCTTATATATGTAAACATTAATCCGTGGATCTACATTCGCATTCTCCAAGTAGTAGATCCCTGGAGAAAAGCTTCAATGGTGCATGTAGGTGAAAAAGTTGGGCAGCCTAGTGTTTTTTTGGACTTCTGCGTTCTTTTCAATTGCAAGAGTTAAGTAAGAAGATAGAACTCATATAAAAAAGGTTGAACCTTGAGATCGTGTTAAAATATAAGTATACCATAAATTTAGTCTGTAAGACTTCAATGTATATACAGCTCCACAATGCATATGATGTAAAAAACTTCACACCATTGTCTGAACAGGGCCAGACATATATATAGAGAGGACTAATGGGCCTGTTCATGGGCCTTTCCATCCCTCATTCTCTTCACATTCCTAAGTGCTCGACGATCAGATTGGAAAGAAACGTTAACAGTTAACTAGAAGTGGGATTCCATTCCTCTCCAGCCAAGTATTGATTCTCATGGATTCTCAGTAGTCTACAAATGCCTTTGGGTGTAGATAAATCCTTTTGGTCCGGTCACAAGTCTCATGAAACCTCATGAGAATGGAATGCATGACCAGGACATCGTCGAGCCAAGTAAAGACACAAGCACATATCAGAAGAACGTGATGACCTGGAACAAAAATAATCCCTAAAATATAAAATCCCTCATGTCTCACACAGTATCATAGTCGATGTGAAGCAAGACCCACATGCGATTTGTGAAGTGTACATTCGCTAGTTGCTATTTGTAATTAGGTGCACTGCAATGGCTGTGGCTCTGAGCAGGTCATGCACTTGACATTTCTCCACATCCGACTGTACTACTAAAACACTTTAAATACTACTAGTCCTTCAGACAAGGGTAGAAACTGTACTAAACTAGCTGTTCACTTCATCTTCAACAGCCATACGACAGTTCCCATGACCTTGCTCTCTGTCAGCTATTTTGTTCACCATACGGATGATGGTGTGTAGTTTGAGCGGGGTGAGTAAGATAACAATCGAGATCGGTACTTTGTGTTGCGCCACATTTTCCGATATTTCCACCTTGTGCGACTTGAACTCTCAACAAATGAATAAAATAAAGCAACAGAGTAAAAATCTTCGGAAATGCTATGCTAGACTTTGCTCTGGCAGTGCGTAACTTACAAGCAAATGGAGCCCTTTGTGCAGCCACAGGGCGAATAGTACGGTTGAAAGGGGGGCCAGAACTATACCCAATGAAAGTACGTTGTTACTACGTATTACGATACCACCACCCGACCCGCGAACCGGATAATCAGTACGGTTATACGGTGTCGGGTGCCGGTCGAAGGTTTGCAATCTTTGATCCCAAGCCTCACGACGCTCGTTCGATCTGCGATCCAGTAACATTCTTGCGAGTTGCTGGTCCCGAATACTCCATGTTCGATACTGCGTAGGCACATTTACACTAGACTGCCCACCGTCTCCAGTTTGTCTGTCTGCGCGCCTGCCTGCCTGCCTTGCTTGCTTGCTTACGCTCAACACGCCACTGCAGGTTGTGTTGATAACTACATGATCAGAAACAGTATACTCAAGGTTTACAGTACTTTCCTGTGGGCAAAGTATAATTTGTTCTCACGAGAGAGAGAGAGTATGAGACCTTCGGAATTTCTCGAGAGCAATGAATAAGTCCCGATTGTCGGACTGACTCCACTGTTCATGATCGCATCGCAGTGTGTCTCAGAAAGGCTCAGATTCAAACCTCTGAGGTTGACCAGCTCGAACCTATGGAAAACATGGAATTCGAGTGGAGGAGGACGAGGGCCGATCCAGGAGTATTTAAGAATGTAAGCCCCAACCCAGTGGACCCAATGGGTCTGAACCTGATCAACCTTCAACGCTTCCGAGCAATATGAACTCACATTCAGCCCTTCAACTTTCTCGCTGACCGAATTCGGGAATCGAGATCAAGGCTCGAAACCGTGTGTACGAGTGTGCCCAACTCGTGCGTCGAGTTAAGGTCTGGGATTCGAATATAACTTCCACGATACCTGATATGCTCGGTCGTACGACTGCATCTGGGCGCGATGTCCGTGTACAAGCACGTAGCATTGACGACGTGACAGGCACCATTCAGAGGGCGGAAGCCAGCCTCTGGACGAGGTGCATGTCGTGCTCGGTGGACGTGGTTGGTTGCCGGTCCAGGGACAGGGAAGTTACCACGGTCTCAATCAACCACGGGGCGGCGTCTGTGAAAAGACATGGCATGCCATTTGGAGCGTTGTTGTGCATACAATAAGTCAGAGCTTTTCAGCTCGGCAAGACCGTTAAACTGGAGAGGCTAGCGCGAGGCGAGAGATGTTGACCCGGCGCGAGCGAGCCTTATCGAGAGCACGCTGCCTGCGCCTCGTGCTCATGCTCGCGCTAATCGCCTCGCATGATCGGGGATCGTGTCTCTCGACTCGACACGGACAATTTGCCCAGCTCCGCATCGCCCGCATCTCCTCCGGTCCCCCCCGAGGCTCGAGACCAGAAAGCGAGTGCGAGTGCTCTGCTGATGTCGACCTCCGTCTCGGACCTCGGCTTCGTGTAGATAAGATGATGCTGATGATGCCGAGACAGGTTGGCATTCAAGGCACGCCCTCTCGACCTGGAGTCGAGCTGAAAACGTACTGCGTGTGGGCAGCTGGTGAGCAATATATCAACGAAGCAAGCAAAGCAATATATCAAGGAAGAAAGGAAGATCATGCAACTGGCACCCGCAAATGCAGATTTTGTGTTCCCACAGCTTCAGAACCATCACTTCATGCTCTCGATAACAATTCGCATCCGGCATCTCCGTCCAGAATCCGATCCGATTATATCCTATTTAATTATCACCTCATCCACCCCAATTCGTTCGAGATGTCTCGCATCAACTGCATCGAAACGATAGTATAATGTCCCGAGACTACGCGAGGCGAGGCGAGGGGAGGCCGGGCAGCAACTGGATTGGGCACATTATCCTTCGAGATGCGAGGCGGGGGAGCTCAGATCACTGACTCTGAGATAGAGAAGTGCCGTTGGGAGTAGTATGCCGGCGCTCACGACGGTGACGGAGTACAGGCTGGGATGTACAGTGACCGGTACGGAGAGAGTCGGCGGGCGGGAGAAACCGGAACGCCGGGGCAAATATACTAGTTTTGCCGGTAGACGCCCCGCCTCGCAAAGCGTGCCGGGTATAGGGGGAATTTTGGGGCTGTCGGGCGGCTCTGACATCGGGCGCCGCGCCCTGGGGGGAGCGGGTCTGGCCGGGCGGGCGGGGCCGCGCGACCTTTTTAGACTACACACGGTCGTGTCAACAATTAGGGTTTACCTCCTCGGCCTCAACTCCGGTTAGCTGTACAGAGGTTCCTTTCCGAGCCATACGCGACGCCGACGTAGGCCGCCGGGAGTGTATGGGACCTGGTGTACGAAACCGTATTTTCCCTTACCCTGCCCTACCCTACCCTAACCCAAGACTCGAACCGTCACGTGGATAAAAACTCTCCACTATGGATTTATCCTCGCAAAAGCGATTTACCGAGCTCACCTAACCGGACCTCAGGGTAAGGTCAAGTCCGGTCTGGCCTACACTATCTACAGCAAAATGTCCCACATTCCCAAGACTAGTCGAGTAGCTAATGAGAGTCTACCCACTAACACATGGGGGAGTTCGTCTAAACTAACGTGTAGACAAATGAGAGCAGAACTGTATCGAAATGGGCTCGTGGAAAATGTGTGAATAGAATAGTTTTGTCTCGCTTCGATATATAACAAAACTCAGATGAGATGAGATGAGATTAGATGAGAGGGAAGGGAGACAGCCAGAGAAGTAAAATGGTGGATATTTTTGTTTAAGCATGGGCAGTGGCTGGCCTGGTCCACGTCACTCTCGCCCCCCAGACGAGCAATCGAGAGCGAGATCGAGAGCGAGAGGAGAGTGAGTCTGGGAATGTCACATAAGCAGAATGCGAGTCTGAGTTGTGTTGGGGGGGAGGGGGAAGGAAGGTAGTTACGACGCCCCCTCCGGTTTTGTCGCGATCCGCGCAGTCGCGACCTGGTGCGTTTTGGCAGGCGGGGGGTGGGGGGAGGAGAGGGGAGGGGAGGGACGGAGGGATGGGGGGGACGGGGCTCCGTTGCTGGGACAAACCTGGGCGAGGGGGAAGGATAGCGGCAGGCAGGCAGGCAGGCAGAATCCATCCATCCGGTGCGGCCAGCCTTAAAAGCACGCAGGGCGAGCAGTTTTGTCGCCCTTGGCTACACTCGATGTGCTTATAAAAGACCATTCTCGCCACGCTTCCACACTCGCAACTTTCTCGTCGCCCCACTTCCACTCCACTGCTCACCGTCGCCCACGCCCCTGCCTCTCTCTCTCCCACTCTTATCTCGCATCTCTCTCTATCTCTCTCTCTCCCTTAAACGAGCTCCGGTCCCGTCCCTCGCAAGCTCGTCTCGTCTCGTGCCCAGATTTGCTCTCTGGAGTACAGCTCTCAGAGACTGCTCCAGCTGACTCACTCGTCGATCAGAATTGCGGTACCTCGACCTCACCTGCGCTCAATCTGTTGCTGTCAATCGGGCCCTGTGTCTGTGTTGGCGTGGGTGCAGCAGCGGGCTGGCAAGAATTGCAAGAATTTATTCGGAGCCAGTTTGACGACCCACATTCTTTCCCGGACAAAAAGCCGTGAACATGCCTCTCAGCATGTCGACCCCGGGCTTGGGGCCTTCTCTTCCTCCGACCACGGAATTGTTGGCATCCCTCGCCAACATAGCGCAGAGAACAGATTCAGCGATGACCAACGCAGGGCTGCTGTCTGTTCTGCTCCAGGGATCCAAGCTGCCAGAAATTTACGTGCAACCAGAGCAGGACAGGCCTACGAAATCCCACGATGTCCAGTCTGAGCTGGAAGTCGAGCTTCCCGTTGTCGATCTGTCGGCATTCAATTCAGCTGACGGGCCCCTTAGAGATGCGGCCCTGGCCAAAATAGTGCGCGCTTGCGAGACTTGGGGCTTTGTACAGGTGATTAATCACGGCGTGGATATCGAACTCATCGAGAAATGCGAAGCAGAGGTCCATCGCCTCTTCCAGCTGCCCGTCTGCATCAAGGAGAATGCGCTCCGTGTGCCGGGCGCTCTCTATGGCTACGGCGCCAACTTCTGGCTCAATCTGCCCGCCATGAATTGGGCCGAAAGCTTCCATATTAACAAACACAATTGCAAGGAATACGCAGCCAAACTGTGGCCGTCTGATTACGAGCGTTTCAGGTAAGCATTGAATGCCCCTCCGTCCTACCGGAATGTCTCTTCCGTTGTTCCAAATGCACACTCGGTCTGCTGCTGATACTGCTGTGAATCGCTCCCATGAAATGTCCAGTGTCGGACACGTCCCACGATTCCGTACCGCGAGCAGTGAGAGTCGAATTTTGACGTGTGCTTGTGTATGTGGTCGCTGCGCAGCTCGTCCGTGGAGAAATATATCACTCAAGTCGAGGACTTGGGGCACAGAGTGCGGCGCGTGCTGACCGAGGGCCTGGGCCTCGAGGCGGGCCACTTCGACAACTACTTCACGGAGGAGGAGACCGTGTCCACTCTTCGAATGAATTTCTACCCTCTGTGTCCGGAGCCGTCCAAGGCCCTGGGCCTGAAAGCGCACCGAGATCCGCATTTCCTCACGCTGCTCCACCAGGATTCCACCGGAGGCCTGCAAATCTGGAACGAGAGCAGAGACGAGTGGTTCAACGTGAAGCCCCGCACGGATTCCTTCATCGTCAATGTGGGCGATGTTCTTCAGGTAACGCCCCGTTCTCTATCGACACAGAGTGTTCATAGATAATTCTAGCACCAGGCTCTCGCCATGATCCGGCCCTGTTCTCCCACGCTCGTGTCCAGTCCGCATGCCAGTGCGCGTGGGGCGGGCGTGAATCACACCCGCGAAAATGACAAGCATGCGTGGGTAGCTCGAAAAGCGAACGCATGATTGTTGCGCTGCCGAGCCAATTTACCGTGTCCGCCCAATTTCGGTCGAGGGGACATAAAAATGGCAAAAAGGGACAGACAGCATATTCGGCGAGCCTCTCTGAGCTCGCTCACAGCTGTTAAGCAACGAGCGCGAACGAACTCTTGCAATTCTGCCGAGCCAAAGCGAGAGGGCGTGAGGCTGCGAGGCTGCGAGGCTGACTGACGTGGGGGAGATCATATTTTAATGCGCTTGTTGTGTGCACGTGCAGGCTGCCAGCAATGGAAGATACCGAAGTGTTTTGCACCGCGCGGTGGTGAACAGTTACAAGACTCGCCTGTCGATGGCGTGCTTTTTCAACACCAGCGCAACCGTGGTCGCTCCGTCCGAGCTCATCACCCCGGAGAATCCCCAAAGATACAGACCCTTCTCGTGGAAAGAGTACATCAGGACGGCGTACACCTTCACCACGGGCAAGGTGTCGCAACTGGACGAGCTATACGCGATTCAAAGCAGTTCAGCGGGCGCAACCGAGCAATGAGCGCAATGCTTGCGCCCGGCGAGCGATAAATGAAACATTCTCGATCGAGCTCGAGCTCGAGCGAGACGCTTCACAGTTTTTGTTCCACACATCATCAGCACCTTATACAGATCATGTAGTTAGATAGGAGCTTAGGCATTAGGAGGATCGGAGCCATCATCACTGCTTAAAAGAAAAATTTAACGGCCAGGTAGCTTAAGGTAGGCAGGCTTTCCCTCGGTAACTACAACACGGCTGCAAATCCCTTGGACTCATTTCTGTAATTTTACTCGAGACCTTAGATTTTTTTTGTTCAGGTCTTGGCGCGGGATCACTTTCAGTAGTAGTAGTACTTTCCTCTGTATTCTCGATCGGGCTCGGCCCTCACTTTGCAAGATGGCCGGCTGGGCGCGGTCGACATGCACCTTGATTCACTTACCACAAGAGGGTTCTTCACGACAAAGAGAAACCTGATACACTCTTGCATTCCGTGCGAATGCGAGCAATGTAGCGCTAGCTAGCTCTTCCTTCCTACGGTATTAAGGAACTTTTCGGGATAACGTTTGTGATATCATGAAATATGTCACTTGTAATTATTTATCATTTTCTGAAAGGTTACTTACATCACGTAGTCTCTGAGTTTGTCTACCATATCTCTCTCAGTTGGGTAAGTTCAGTATCCCTAGGCAAGCGGTACCATACTGTGCAGTAATGTTCCCTCTTGTTGCGAAATATACCACTTGGATCATCATTCTTCACATTTCGGGCAATTCGTGCACGGGTCATGAGATCATCGCGCTCGCCTGTGGGTCCGGTCGCTGTGTCCAGATGTGTTCTGCTTATGCTTGTGCTGCGTGACAGATAGAGGTCGCGAGTCCCACCGGGCTACGAGCATTTGCTGTTACTGATAATTATTGGAGCCGTAATTCCGATTTCGAGGTTGTACGTGTGCTGCTGCTGGCTGGGATCTTACCTGTGTCGTGTGAATCTGCCAAGGCCCCAGGAGGGCTCACACTTTGAGGGTCAATTGCCGCCGGTGCCCCGATACCCAAGCCAGCGCTGTGACAGGCGGCCAGCAGCGCCCTTCGACCTGCTGCTGCAGGCTGCAGCTTGAGGTTTGCGCGAGGCCGACCTGACCGAATCCCGTGCGTGCAACGGGAAAGCTCGCAGCGGATGTGATGATGCGAATTCTTGGCTGTGGCCAGCGCTGCGCAAGTCATCGAGCATTTGCTGTATCTCGATCGCAACAAACGTCTTGGCTTCTCATCATCATGATCGATATCCGGAGACGAGTGTTTGACCGTGAGGTTGACCGCGCAGGCAGGGAAGGTAGCTAGCTATAGTCATGATGATGAGAGCAGCAGGCGAGAGGCGGAATCAGATGGACTCTCTCCGGAGCTCGCTGCTCGCTGCTCGCTACATGCACCGAGCGCGCGCACCTGGGGCCTGGCTTGGACAAGGCCGAGAGGGGATCTGACCAGCCTCGAGGTGCTGTCAAAAGTGGACATGAGTTTGAATGTGTGACGCAGTAGCGGTGATCGAGTATAAGATGAGCTTGAGGCTCGACTCACTGCGATGCATCGTGGCTATTGATGTGCCTTCATTATTGATCCAGATAGCTGGAGGAATGTACATCCGTCCTCTGGGAGCGAGCATTAGTGAAGACATGCCATTGTTTATTGACCCTCGTCTCGCGGCTGTTGAGGAGGGCTGTGCGTACTGAGGGATTGATGCAGCACGTCGTCCATGCCAGACACCAGACAAGCCGAAACCACCGCCCTCCCTTCTCCCTCCATCTCTCATCCTTGCATGTCGCAGACCCGACCGCACTGCTGAGCAGCTAGCGAGCCAGCCATCGCTGGCTAGCTCTCAGCCCAGCTATGCCATTACAGCACGCTCCCACAACACCCACTGGTCGCAGCGATCCTCTGCAATGCGTTGTTGACCTCTGCGCAAATCCAGGATCGCCGCTGGACATTCCAGCCTTGAACTTTTCCGTTACTGTTGGTAACCTTTCTCGATCGATGCAGGTCGACGACCGCAGGACCCATCCAATTGGCCTGTTGCTTGCTCGCCCCCTCCGGATCCCGCACTCACACTCGCAAGTACGAGTTGTGCAGATAGGGATATGGGCTGCAATTGCATGTAAAGCAGCATTCCTTTTGAATCTGAAGTCCATATCTGGGACAAACATGCCATGCCTGCATGGTGCAACCGGTTCAACTACTCGCAGCACTGGGTATGTATGTTGCAGTGCTAGACCGTGGTCGCGAACGACAGTTCTCGCCACGAGATTCGTTGCGCTAAAGTACGTGGTAGTGCACCCGCTGAATTACCATGATGGCTTCGAGCAGGTACCCTAGAGCGGGGCAAATATTAAATTCGCGCTTGTATGAGTGAACGTGGGGACCCGTGTACACAGCTGCTGCTGCAGCAGGTCACCCTCTGATTTGGCCACCGGACTCCATCCAGCCACAGACTCGCGGAATGGCGGAACTCGCATTTGCCTACAGTTTCACGTAGTCCAGTCCCGTACGAGCACAGCATGAGGGATGAGGGAGGCCCATGGACAGCAAACAAAATTTGGCAGCCGAGCGGAAAAAGAAGAAAAGAGAAAGGTCTCGAGCTGCCGCTTCCATTGTGCTGCTGCAATCAACGACAGGGAAAGTGGCACCACTGGTGCGCAGCTGTGGGCGCTAATACGTGACGATCTTCCATTTGTTGTCCACATGACTCGAAAAGGGTACTAGACCAGGTACACAGGCAACAGACACACACGCACACAGAGAATTTGTTCTTATTTATTCGTATGGCCGTAGCCCTGGGACCATAGTCCTTGCGCCGAGTTCTAATGCACGCAGTGTGTTGCACGTCTCAGGTTCAATGTCGTCCGAATCAAATTTGGTGTTTGTGGGCTGTATACTGCGAGAGAGGACGTCGGTTTTCAGAGAGAGAAGGAAAAAAAAAAGAGGGCGAGAGTCCTTGGTGCCATAGCCTTTCCAGACCAGGTCCTGCGATGAGGATGGTGGACGGTGCAGTGACGATCGAAAGGCTGGACGTTGCAGACTGGCGATGGTGGTCTCCTTCCATGAATCGTACGAAATCAATGCGGTTTCGACCATCCATGATCAGCAAGCGCAGAAGGTAAAGCTTTCGAGCATCACGGTGACCAGAGATACCGCATGCATTGAGGTCGAGCATGGTCGACCAACAGACAGACAGACATACCTTAAATCTCGATCCACAATCTATTGTATTCATAAAGCGCGACAGGTGCTCTCCCTGTCGCCCATGGCCATGCCATGGCCCCATATCCCCCATGCCCATGGGCGACAGCTAATCAATTCCCCCCCTGCGCCCCTGACCACGGTTAAAGTGAGGCCCTGTACAGGATTAGCCCCATTTAATCCTATCTCTTGTTCACGCATTAACTCGAGCTCCATCGAGCTCTCCCTGCTCTGCAGCCACAGTGAAGTACTCAGACCCGCCCCAGCCTCGCTCTCAGGGATCAGGCCAGGCCAAAGCACAGGGGGCGTTTGAAGGTCCCCAACACAAGGCACCGTGCGATCCGAACCGAACCGTGTTTGAATGATTTCGTCTGGACTCTGGACTTCTTCATCAACCTCACAGTGATCGATCGCGTCTTCGTTAAACGGATCCTCAGAGTACGTGCATTTACTGGCATACGAAAGACACGCGGCCCTCGGGCGACAGTGAGGGCACCTTTCCCCAGAAAATAGTGCCGCCCTGCTTTAGACTCGCGAGTCTGCAGGAACTCAGACCGGCGGCAGACCCCTTCCCCTCGACGGAGGGACTTGCTTCCATTCGTTTGAACGCCGAATATTTCCACTCCCCGGCAGTATTTTTAGGCTGGATTCTAAAGCAAGGCAGCTGCAGCAACGGATGAAGGACCGAGGATTTACCGGGAGAATATCCTCGAGAGCATTCGGTCGGTTTTTCCCAGGCCAGGGAGGGAGGGAGGGAGGGAGGCACCACCACCAGAGGCCAGTCACCGGCCCAGGCCCAGGGCCAGAGCGTCCAACACAGATAAAGGCTGGACAGATACGCCTCGGCTTTCAGTAGAAGGCGAAGGGGGAATGAGATTGAATGATTACGGCAATCGAGTTCCAGACAGATTGAATCGGTTGAATGTTGGCATCCGGCCTTCGTGAAAAGCAGGGAGGCGATGTCATGTTCAAGGTTCCGCTTTCACATGGCTCGGGCTGAATATTTTGTTCGCTTGTAGACATGTGGGGATAGAGGTGGGACGGCGACGCGCGATTTGGCGAGCTGGGATGGTAGACATGAGTTGACTGAGGGAGCACTAGTCTAAGAGTAGTCTGAGGTCCAGAGCACTAGGCGGCAGTCTCGCCCCCGGGTTAAAGCTGAGACGCGAGCGAGGGAGGGAGGGAGGGAGGGAGGACATGCATGAAGACAAGAGGAAGTATTTGCCGAAGATGCTGCCGGCACTTTTCCCATTGTACAGTGAAGATCTGTGCTGTAAACTTTCGGGCTCGCTTCCATCCAGGCTGAACTTCCTAGGGGCGTGGCCAATGAAGCGTGCGATTTTGATGTTCTCAAGATTAAAATGTTTCTAGGCGAACTAATAACCACGAATTATTGGGGCCTAGCCTTTCATCCCTAGGACGTGATTGGGGCGTCCATCCTTTTCGCTATATATTACTCGATTGCCCCTTGATTTTATCACCCTGCCCGCCATGTGTTCACCACGTTGTCTGATTAAAAAAGGCCCCCGTCTTCTATTCTTCTATGGCTGAAGCCACAGTGCGCGGTCTGACCACCAGTGGGGCGAGTTTTCAACCATGATGTGATGGCCCAGAACTCGAATGAAATCGTATTCTTTTTCTCTCGAATGTTGCACTCTCCACCAGAAAACATTTGATCACATTCGGCCGATCAACGCAAAGTCACGTTATCGACAGAATCTCACTCTCAGTCGCTTGTACAACAGACAACCGAGTCCACAGTATGGACTGTTTTAGAATATTTCAGATAAATATGTCAGCTGAATGTTGCGGGATTTTGTCCTCGGGCGCCAAGATAGGTGTCCACTAGCTGTAGTGGTTGAGGCAAGATAAGAGAGGGTTTGCAAATTTAGCTATACCCTTCTCGCTTGGCCGGCCGGAGCCAGAAGGACGCAGCGGGACCACTCCCATCTCTCGCTAGAAGAAGGCTCTTCACTGCTCGCTAGGGGTACTCCCGCCTTGATTCATCGCTCTTGCTCTCTTTCCACGACTTTCGCTCTCGACCGAAATGCGTCCAAACTTGGTTGTTGGTTGGTTCCGCAGTTCGTCCATGGCCAAAGCAACTGTGTGTATTCCACTTCGCATCCCTCACGACAATCGATGCGTAAATAAGATCCCCAAACCTCCAGACTCCATGCGAACCCCATCACTCTGCTCTTTCTCCCATGCCCTGCCTCCTCTGAATCTCTGCCCCCTGCCTGCTGCCGACTGCTGCTCTTACCACCATGCTTGTACCATGACCCACTTCTCGCCCCTCTCAGTCCTCCCCCTCCCCCGGTGTAGTTCCCGAAGCGTGCAAATATGGGATCAGTGGATCACTCGGCCATCCTTTACTGTATCCCGGATCGCAGCCTTATTAGATTTACTTCACGTTATTAAGAATCAATGGGAGTGGCGCTGCGACCAAGACTTTGTCTCTCTACG